TATTATTATTATTATTATTATTTTTATTATCATTATTATTATTATTATTATTATATATTTCTATTGTATATTTATACGGAGATGAAGGATTTATATTAACAGGAAACCGATAACGTTTCTCTTTCTTTATTCAACACAATAAATATAATTTCAACACGTTGTCTCTTCATGTAACACAAAACATACTCATAATATTGAGTTAAATAAAACAAAAACAAAAAAGAATGTGATAAATACGAACACTATGCAGCGTATCGATACGAGTGGTACAAAATTGAATTTAAAATTTCCTATTTGGAAAACTTTGAAATGTCAAAGATGCACTTTGTTTCGTTCGAAGTCCGAATCAATGGGGGGGAAAAACGAAAAATAATGAAAAAACATTGTGCAAGATCAGCACCACCATTAGTAGTCATAATATCGATAACGAAATAAAACATCGGAAAAAAACAATTTGAAAAATTTCTATTAAGAAAAAAGTTAGATACATAATTATGAAAACAACATTTATTTTTATTTTATTGCATTCGATTAAGAAGAAAAAAATTATTATTTCACCGATTCTCTGTTATTTCTGTCCTTTTTTTTCAGATTTGTAAAATATAATAATGATAATAATAATAATAATAATAATCTTTGTGTTATACGTTTAATTTTGATCTTTTCTCTTTTTCTCTCAACTTTGACCCTAGTCAATTAACACCGTAAGAAGAATAATTAAACGACATCTGCCACAACCGGATATATATAATGTGAATTCTTATTTACTCCACTCGTTTTACATATACCCACCCCCACCTACACACACACACACACACACACAAATATATGTATGAAATATATACACACATACATACATATACGTAAAATAACAGCTTAAATGTTGAACATGCATATACATGAATACAAATACATATACTTACACTTATATGCATAGATATATTCTTCGATCGGTTTGTTTTAAATGACCGTAGTACTGTCACGAGGTGACCGTGTACGGGTTCTTTATAAAACAGCTGTTGGGGACAGCAGAAGCCATGCCAGCCAAAACGAGTAAATCAATACTATCGGCTGCCTAGTAGCTTATATATGTGTGTGTGTGTGTACTTTTACATATATGTAAGGTACATGTATAATACACATTGAAGAAACGTAGAACTACAGGGGTACTAGAGATAGGGGGTGAACCAATCCTAAAACGAAGCCGAAAGAGAAAACCCTCGTCATGGGGAGTTTACACCCATAGGACTGATATCGCTTCTTGTATACATCCTTGTTAATTTCTCAACATATATATTTCAACTTATAAATATATATTATTCATTAATTATTACTAATATGGTGGAACTTGAATATGGAAACATTTTTTTTTTTTTTTAGAATATATTTTTAAATAATTCAAATGAAAATTATCATACAATTGAAACGAAGAAAAAATTAAAATAAAAAGAAAAAAAAAAAGAGAAGGAAAACCTTGAAAATGTCGAATTTTGATTTAAATTAACAAACCGTTCGTAACATATTTTAATCTTAATTTTAAAATATGCAAATAACGTGTTTTTTTTCTTTTATATTATATTTTTACCAAAGCCACGAACAAAAGGTACTCTAACTAATCAGCTACTATGTCAGTTAATGAAATATTAATGAATTGCGAGTGTCAAACGATTTGCTTTCGACTACTTCGTATTTACGTTGAAAAGAAAAGAAATATAAGGCAAACGAGATACAACTAAACGAGGGAAGAAACGATCGATCTAATTTAAAAAAAAAAAAGAAAACTATAAGGAAAAAAAAAAGCATATAATAAAGCTATCATTAATCGAATAGGATCATTATAGTGCTCGTACACACTCGTAATAAGTATGACTTGTAGAAAAATGTTCTTAACGTGTAATCCAATGCTATAAATAACAATTTGCGTCATACAAATAAGAAGAGGAGCTTGGTGAAAAAAGATTTATCATTTCAGAACGATTGGACGTTCGTGAAATAATTAAATGTATTTATACACGACTCGTCGTTTTAGTAATTTCTTTTACAATTCCATCATACGTATCAATTGGTCTTTTTTTTTTTTTAATTTTTTTTTACAGTAAATACACACCATAAAATAATCCAAAGTGCATAAAATTTGTTAAAATTGTTTAATGAAAAAAAAAAAAAATACAAAGTATAAGCATAAACATGAAAATCTCAGAAAATGCAAGGAACTGTTTTGTTTGGTAATTCATAAAATACTTGTAACGATGGTCATATTTTTATTGTTCTTTTTTTTTTTTAGTGTATACATACAATCATATACTATTTAATTGTATAAGATTCATTACAATAATTCGTATTAAAAAATAAATAATAAATAAATTAGTAAAGATATGAAAAAAAAATCAAAGAAACTAGAAAATATAATCTTTCCAATAAAACGATGTCCCTGATTGGTTCTTGTCGTTTGTAACTTAGCTATTTATTGGCAATACTCGTGCACATGGTGTGTGCACCTTAAATGGGCACCCAGAAGAGCGTGACCGGAATGAAAGTCAGCGTTCGTATGTTGGATAAAACGCGATCTCGCCATTGTGTTATCTTCGCAACACAATAAACCTTTCCTAGATGACGAAACCTCTTGTATCTACAGTTCCAAAGCATTTCAGCGTTTTGTAATTATATTTTTCTTATCATTTTAATCTTCATATAAATTGCATTTTTATTTTAAAAATTTCAACTAAATTCACACGAAAAAATTCACAACAAATTTACAAAAACCACGTCAAATTGAATTACAAATGTGGGATTCAGAGAGAAATAAAATAATAAAATATATAATAAAACCCAAAATGGACAGAGACTGATGAAGATATATAATATAATAATAGTTTATTTAGTGTGTTAATTATTACATCGAGCGGTATTTACAAAAAGTGACGTGGGTGCAGATTATATATATATATATATTCAAAATAAGCTATACCCTTTTGGAAAAGGAAAGGAAATATATGAATCTTATCGGCCTCTAGTATCACCGGAATAGGGCTGAAAATCGGAAAAAATCGGACCCTTTTCAGAAGCGGCAGTCTTTGATCGTCGACACCACCTTGTTTTGAATGCTATCGCTAAAGCTTTCTCTTAAGTAAACGATACCTTTATACCTACTGCCTTTCTTATACTATGATATTTTATTTTCATATGTTTATTGTAGGGTTTTATTTAACTAAGATCGAAATGATATTCAAACAGAAAAATAAATATAAAGGAGAAGAACTAAATATAAGGTTTATCTTCTACACAAATATATCCAAAGTTAAATTAAACGATAAAAGAATCTATGCAATGGTTTATCAATGTTCTTTTCATACAAAAAAAAAAAAACATTAAAAAAATGTGTACGTATTTAGGAAAAATGTTGTCAACGATCAGGTGACATTAAACGTGAGTTTACGCTCAACGTACGAATCTAATAATAAAAATATATAAAAAAAAAAAGATGTCAAACATAACAATAATGATGAGTCTACGTAATGTTTAATTAATGTATTATGTAAAGATCTACAAAAAAAAATATAATAAAAAAAGGCTAATCAATGATTTTTTAATCCACAGACTAGACACGAGAGTCTACGATGTTTTGAATCAATGAGAAGAGTCTACAAAAATCTGACAAAAATGTTAATCAATGATTGGCGTATTCGACTCGAGAAAAAGTGAGTCTATGGAGCATTGAATCAATGATCGTCCAATTATATTCGAACACAATCTAATCAGCTTTTAATCGTTGATCTAACAATAAATACGAGATTGGAAACAGGTGTAAACGATAGATCAATGAAAACAAAATATATCATTTCACGATTCGATACTAAAGTCGAAGAGGGCTATTAAAAGGAGACGAAAAAAGAAAATGTTAGATAAAGAAAGAGACAGAGAGAGAGAGAGAGAAAGAGAGAGAGATCAGTTTATAGCGATGACGTTAAGCAGTTTGTAAAATTAGCATCGCTACTGCGTCCAATATTCACGTATAACGGAACACTTAGAAAGCATGCTCTCAACGAGAGGGACACTTAATTCTCTTTCTGTCTCTCTTTCTCTTTTTGTAAGTTCTCTCTCTTTCAACAAGAGAAATCCTTTTTCATGTTCTCCATCGTATATATCAATTATTATTATTATTTAAAAAAAAATTAAAAAAACAAATATTTAATCAATCGTTAAAAATTTTAAAACCTAACCTATAAAAGTGTGAATAAAAATAGAACAATTTCAACAATTAAATAATACAAAATTAACTAAAACAAAAGTCTCGATTGTTTTTAGTTTTTAACGTATATCATAAAAGAAGGGTACCCCTTTCTGGAAAGTTCTTAATCCCTCCTCCTTCCCTGCCCCTCACCGCCACCACCCACTTTTCTCTCTCTCTCTCTCTCTCTTTCGTTCTTTCTTTCTCGCACACTCCTACTCGTTCTCTCTTTTCTATACAATACAGTCGTCTACCTTTTTCTACGAAGAGAAAGAAGCATCGAAACAAAAAAAAAACACGACACTCGTTTAACCCGTTGAACAGTGTTCTCGCTTGCGTTAGGGATTACATAACAGAACCTCCTAGGTTATGCATCGAAAACAAATTCCCCCCATTGAAAAGAAACGGAAATGGGAATTATTTATCTCGACAATAGAATTTTACAGTAGAGTATTATCATTAGTTTTAGAATTAGTATTATTAGTAATAGTAGTTCTAACGCACGTGTACAGGAAAATACAAGGATAGAAAAAGAGAGAGAGAGAGAGAAAGAAATGGGGGGGGGGATGAAGAAACCATACAACTCAATGACACTTGTACGAAAACAAATGACCATGTCAAAAACAATCAAAACAAAAACTCTGTGACAATCTCGACCGCTAAAAAAAAGAAACATAAACAATATTATATTTAAAAAAAAAATTTAAAAAAATAAAATCAAACGAATATTTTTAAAATATATGAATAAACAATAATACTCTGTAATACTTACATTGCCCGGTAAGGTAGCAGAGTTAGCAGCAATGGTGAAGAGAAAATCATGGCTGACTCGGGAACTCTGCGATGTCCCACTGTCGCTGGAAATACTCGAGCTATCGTACAATGCATCGGACACGTCCAACTTCATCTTTGATTATTTTCTTATTACTCTTCGATATTATTGTCTATTGTATTATCATTAACACGCGTCAGTTCTTATTTTCTTATACGCGCGCACGTAAGCACAAAGAAAAAGATATGAAGATATTTTTATTTAAAAAGTGAGAAAGAGAGAGGAAGAGAGAGAAAGAAAGAAATAGAAAGGAAGAAAGAAACACTCAAAAGGCACACGAAGGTACACTCAGTTCAGTTCCAAAAGAATTCGATTCAAAAAGAATCCTCCCCCGTTATTCTTCTTCTTCTTCTTCTTTTTTCACTCACTTGCTCCCTCTCTTTCTCTCTTTATGTTTCTTCCTCAGTTCCCCTTCCCTCCACGCCACTACTACTTCTCCTCCTCCTCTTATTTCTTTTTTCTTAGGAACACGTTTAAAAAACAGCGGCTGATCGAGGTGTGCGCACGTCGTCTATCGTGCAGCAGCGGCAGCAAGCCTCCTTTACTCCAAACCGTGCGAAACTAACAGCACGATGACTCATACCGCGGGGGAATACCTCCGAAGATTCGTTTAGGTTCGGACCTATCCTCGGTCGAGTTCGGCTACTTTCGTCCAACCACTCTACGCCGACGCTACGCAGAAAGAATGACGTCATTGGCTATTCCAACTCAACCAATGGCGCTACATCGAAGCTGTGGAACGCGCTAACCAGGGATGTATGATTGGATAGTTTGCGCGGGTATTTTAAGAGGCTACTAATTATTATTTAAATGCTTTTTTCTTAACACGCGAATTTTTAAATGAGAAATTATACGACGATAAAAGGGGATTAATTGTTTTTATTAATAATACGAGTTTAATGGTTTTCATGGGTTTTTTGAATATAATATTATTTTGGGGATCTCGTGACTATCTGCATAAGAACGTTCATCAATTGAATGATAATATCTTTCTCACCGCACGTAATCAAATTTCAAGGAGGAACGTTTAACGTTTTTCGAAAGGAGGACAGTTTGTAAGATTAAACAACGAATGAATTTTTAATGAAATTTACCTAAGATTGAATTTATTTATTTTTAAATTAACATTTGAATGTTATTAAAGATTCGATTTGTTCAAATATAAAATGACTGCTATTATTTTAATTGCAAGCAATATATATTTATGTGCATATATATGTAGATTTTAACGCACGAATAAGTAAATACTTTGTTAAACGATGTTATCACCTAAGTAAGAAAAGAATGAGGGTGCAAGTGAAGGGGAAGATGCATCGGAGCGTGACCCTATCTCAACCCTCTTTCAGAGGGGTTGCACGAAATGTACTACAGCGTTATCGATTTGAGAGGGAAGTGTATATGCTACTTAAATGCAATGGTTTCTTCGAAAAGGGAACCGATTTAACTTGGAAACTAATCAAGAAACTTTGTTTTTCCAAGCAATCGGAGTAATGCAGAGAATCGAAGAAGAAGAAAAAGAAGAAGACGTAACGATGATAACGGGAGCGTGCAACAGTAACTACAGCAGTATCAGCAATAGTAATAATATCATCATCATCAGCTTCAGTAGCAGGAACAGCATCGTTGGATCCCTCGCAAGCCGAAAATTTCAAATGAGACACGCGCACTGTTTCCAAGAAATGTGGATGAGTCAGAGTTGGGTTGTCGCGTGGGCGGCGAATGGGGTAGCCGGAACGCATCGAACAAGAGCCATAGTGACTCACCGATCTGATATGTTGGATATTCGCGCCTTAACCTGCCGCCACCGGCTACGACTAGACGACGTTTCTCGAGCCTTCCCTTTTCTCTTCCCCACACGACCCCTCGTCTATCCTCTTTTCTCTCTCTCCCTTGCCTTTTCTTCTTTTTCTCATCGTTCCCCTCCCGCTTACGGAACTTGCAGGTGGCACCTGTAGCCGAGTGCCCGACATATCTCTTAGCACGAGAACCGAACAACGATCTTTTAGGTATAGGCTACAGCATATATATTTCACTTACGAACAACACTACTATACCAAATTTAGTTCTAAACAGAAAATTACTCTTGAATATAGATTTAACAAAGAAAAATATTTTGTGAAGAATAATCTTGCGAGATCATGAAAAAAAAGGCTTACGTCGCTCATCTTTGAACTTCAGACCTTGTATGCCCAACACACCGCTATATATCATTCTCAGTTTCTTTCTTCTTCTTTTTTCTTTTTTTTTTTTTCTAGTAGAATTTTACTTGGACTACAACTGAATGACGTCCCTAGAACCTTTTTATGCTCTCACCGACCCTTTTTTATCCTCGCTTCTTTTCTTTTCTTTTCTTTACCTTCTTTTTCTACTAACGGAACTCGTAGGTGGTAACATAGTACCTGGCATGTATCCTGTCTAGAAAAAGAAAATAATATTTTAAGTATACAACGTCGCTTAGCTTATTTTAAAGCGGATCACTCAATTTAATTTTTAAAATGATCCACTTAATGCGGATAAGTCTTCATTAAAAAACAAGGATCAACTTAAAAAAATATTGTTGTAGAATAGAGTCGTTAGAAATAAAACTATTTCTACGATCTGCCATCATCGATCTTGAATTTTTTCCCCGTTGATTCGTAAAAAATACAAGAAAACGAGTAAGATTATACGAACTAATCGCAAATAGCAGTGACATTCACCCGGTTAGCAGCTACGCATCCATGATGAAATTCGAATAGACGAGTGTGGTTGTAGTCCTTGAGCTAACTTTTCTGCCTATATAACCAAGGATCTCAGGCTTCAGATCGCCATATTTGAATGCGTTTACCGATTAGAAAAATGGCGACGTTACGGAATGTCATTGCCGTTCGAATCCAATTGAATCCGCGATGCATTTCATGATAGGACAATTACAACGCACTTTACCTTTCTTCTTCTTCTTCTTCTTTTTGTTTTATCATAGCCGATGATTCTGATCTATGAAGGTGCTTTATGATCGTCTTGTAACGTAGATCGATAATTCGATAACAACAAAATCGATGGGAAATCTTATCTTTACTTTTGTATGCAACAATCTACCTTTTTATTTCTTTTCTTCAAATTTTTTCAAACTTTTATCAACTATTTTAGATGAGATTCTTTACAATCTTACAAATAATACAAGTTTATTTATGATATTTAACAATACTACCCTCATCGACATACTTTTCTGTAAACTAACACGAACTTTACCGAAGTAGGTTGAAAGTCTCGAGATTAGGACAATTATCTGTGGCTATGTTGATTGATTAAAAAAGATCGAAAAATATTTTAAGCCAATATTTAGATAACATTGACATTTTTTTATTGTCAATTGATTGGAAAATTGATTGATTCTTTTTTATTATCTCTACTATTCTTCAGCTTGTTTAAATTATGGAAGGTACTATGATTTATATAATATATTTACAAATTAACGTAATTATATAACTGTTTATCTATCTTGATTACAAGTTAGTATATCTTTAACATATTTATAGTCTGTTTTTTAAAATACAAATACTTTATTTTTATAATCAGAGAAATAAATCAATGTTCTTGTTTAATAATACTGTTGTAATAACACTGTTTGTATCTTAAAAAAACAATTAAGTGTTCTTACTTCCAAAATCAATCAACTATAAAATTATATGATGGTATTTTTAAATAAGAATAGTTATAAAACACATTTAATGTGACAAACGAATTTAATAAGTGAACACAACGTGATTCTCGTCGTATCTTATCGATGACGTTTTACAGAGATAAAACTGATCACTCTGCTTCTATATACTGCATTATAATGATAATGATAATAATGATAATAATTATGAATATTATTATTATTATTATTATTATTATTATTTCTCTGTCTCTCTTTTTCCTTAGGCCGTTTTTCTCTCTCAAATTTCGCTTTTGTCAACAAAGCGCATTAGAATTTCGCTGTGTTTCAAATGAAATCAAACTTTGAGAGATTGTTTTAATAAACATTTGGTCAAGTAACTTTAGCTATTATGTTATACGAGATATGTAGGAAAACAATGTCGTAGATTCTTTAAATCAAAAAACATTAAACACTATTGCAATCCGTTATCCGTTATATTTATAACAATATATAAAGTATTAAAAAATCATTCGCGATAGATGATAATTAATCCTAAAAAACAAAACATAGACAATCTATCATTCTCTATGATGAAATTTTTTAATAACAAAAATTGTTCATATAACATTTTGGAAAATAAAACAAACAGAAAGAAAAAGAGAAAGAAAGAAAATAAAATGCAAGATTTTTCCTTTGTTTATCTATTTTGAAAGATGAAGAAGGGAATGGTTCATAATGTTCCAGCACGTGTGTGTTGCTTTGAATTAAGTGTGTGAGACTATTTCCCGAGAAGAAACAAAGAAAATCTAAAAGAAAAGTAAAGTAAAGGGTCGGTGGGTTGGTGGATCCACATTGGTGTGAATTGTGAAACGCAAAAGCTAGCTAGCTAACTAGCTAGCAGGATTCGCGAATAATGCGAAGAAGGAAATCGAACGAAGCCTTGTTGTGTTGGACTCTGCTCTTATTCGCAGCTGCGAAAAGAGAGACAAGAACACGCGAGTGGAAGTTGCACGAAATGAGTCAACGTTTCCTCCCTCTTGTCTCTTTCTCCCTCTCTAACTCTTTCTCTTTATTTCTTGTTCTTGTATTTCTTTCCTTCTTTTTGTTTTTCCTCTTTTTTTTCTTCTTTTTCTATCTTTTACATGGCGCGAAAACAGCACGTGCGTTTCAGCTCGTTGCTTGCAGCAAGCTCGTTAAAATGGTGGATAGACAATACGCGAGCTGTTGATATCATGCATACGATTTTTTTTTCCTTTTTATTTTTTTTTTTCTTATTAATGCATTCGATTTTCATTGGCTCCTCTCGTTCTTTGTATATTTGTTTAATAAGAAAGAAAAAGAAAGAGAAGAAATGAGAGAATGATTTTATTTAATACAATTGTGTACTTTGTTTTTCATTTTATTTTTTTTTATTTTAATATTATTTTATATTAAATATCGTCTACGTCCATTTCCATTTATAAAAAAAATAAATGAAAATCTAAGTGGTGAAAATAAGATGAATATATTTTACAACGGAATGAATAAATTTGTTTAATTTATGGCTATAAGTTGTTTCTTTGTTTTTATACATGTATAAAAAAATTTTACTGCAACGATATCATAATTCTTTGTGTATCTTATTACGGGATTGAAGAAAGAACACTGTTTTATAAAAATATAGTAAACGCTTTAGATACTTTAAGAGGAAAAGTTAAGAAACACAAAGCCGTTGTTCGTGCTTGAGAATATGATTCCTTGGAAAGAGTCTCTAGGAATGCATCGATCGAAGGTCGTTAAAATTCTCCTTATTGCGAAACTTGTTCTTGCTTTTTAACAATAAAACTATACGCAATATAATATTTATATAAAAATATATCTATGTATTAGAACCTTTTTTATTATTTTTACTTTTCAAAACAGTTAGAAAAAAAATAATATTATTTATTTAAATATAAAATACTAAAGAATTTCAATAAACAATAATCATATTTCATCAGCTATTTATTTAAAAAGTTGCTTCAAAATTTGTAGCGAAATTAAACGTAAATATTATCTATTTAAATATAACAAAAATAACTGTAAATTTCTAAATTATTTATTGACCAATGAATATATATTTTTTGTAATATAAGAAAATATTTATCAACCGTTGTAAATAAATATAAATCTTTGCGAAATACACGTGCCAACAAAAATAATATCTTCGAATGAAGTGGGCGTAGACGAGCTGTGCATGGAATTATAAATTTAAGTTGTCGCATTGAAGTTTTGTTAGTTTGACTCCTCCTCACAGGTAAAAGAACGAGAATAAGGGAATACTTGGCTAGGTATCCAATCCCTTTGTGTATCTTTTTTATTCCCTTTTCTCTCTTTCTTTTTCTTATATACGTGTATACTAATATAGAAGTACATTCGTTTAGGCCACTGAGCCATTGTATGCAAACAACTTTCCGGCAATAATTTAATACTTTTAACGACAAAGAGAATTCTAACTTTCTCTTTCTTATTTCCTTTTCCCCTCGCTTCACTCTTTCTTTTTTTATTTTTTCCAGCCCCACCCCCAACCCCATTTAAGACGAAGCAAAACATGTTGGTATTTTTAATATTCAAACTACCAACATGTGTGCGTACAAATACTCAAATATTTTTCATAGAGAATACATTTTGTTCTTTACAATTAAAGCAAAGTATTTTATAGTATACACTTTGTTCTTTAAAATGATATAATGTTCATCAAAATTGGTCAAAAATTATGACCGGAGTGATTATTACCGTAAACTCTATTTTTGACATTTTTCTAATGAAGGATTGTTCCTCGTTGCTTATTACAATCTTTGTAAACTTGAATTTATTGTTGAAAAAAAAAAAGAGTTTGAGCAAATTAATAAGAAATCTTAATCGTCTAGAATGTTAATAATTACTCACAACTTTATTGAAAGATGAGTAAGATTTTTTAATAAATATAGGAAAGTATTCCACGGAATGAGGACTGCACCATAACAAAGTTGAAGAGGATATCAAAACATAAAATGTGTGAGATAAGGCACGATTGAACGAGTAATAATATCTGTTTCCTTTTGTTTTATTTAGCCTTTTTAGTTTTACTTTGTTGTAACATCTCTTCAGATAGGTTTACAATTATCATAAAATAAAGTAGAACTCTTGAGTTATCTTACTCTCATTTATAAAAATACATTTGTAATTTATTGTTACCTACTATTTATAATAAATATCGACTATTTCTACTTATATTATTGATTATTTTACTAGTTTAATTTTTCCACAAAGCCAGTTTGTAATTATCCAAATTATGTACATATTAAATACCAGTGTATATCAGTCAATACTTAAATTAAAATATTACTTGTATTAAGAATTTTTTCCTAAAACTTGATTAATTACAGACATCTCTTTATTGGACATAGGTTTCAACATTATTCCAGGTACAGGTGGATTTAATTCTAAATCTCTCAGTTCATTAACTTTCACTTTTAAATCACTTCGTAATTTATTTACTTCAATGTCGCATTGTTGTTGATCTATAGAATAAAATTTCGTTGAAATCTATCGAATAAAATGATAGTTTATAAAATCACAAAGTTACCTTTTAAAAGTAATTCTTCAGCAGTTTTATTTGGCATTTTTAACAACATAGGACCAATTGCAATCCATGTTTTATTACAATTCGTTTTTTGCAGTTCTCTCATACCAACTCTATCATCGTTTCTTCGTTTATCGAGTGCAACTATTTCTTGTCTGTCCGTGAGAATTTCCCCAGCTTTGGCTTCAACTTGTTCCAAGTGTTGCAATAATTGTTGCTGTTCTTTCATCATTCACAGTTATATTCAATAATTGCTAATATATTATTATTAAATTATTCGTTGAGAATTACACACAGAACGTTATTCCTTAGATAGGTTAAAATTTTGGTTAGGTTAGATTGTGCTTATACATCAAGTTCTTGAAGATGAACTGCGTGCGCACACCTACTTACGTGGTGGTAATAGCAGAATTTTATAAAAAGTTATGTATTAATCATTTATATAATTACAAATGATAATATATCAGTATTATTTATTATTATCACTCACAAGAGTATTTGTACTGTATTAATTGCTAATTATTAATGATTAATATCTGTTTAGAATGCTTGTTTTTAAATTCTTATAAATAGGAATGAACATTGAAATTGATGATTTTAATTTTTATACTGCTTTAACAACTGAGATACTGTTGCGTTCTATTTTATCGGCTGATACTATTTAGTATTGTCTTACCAACTGATACACTAGTATTATTTTACCGACTGATGCTCGTGTACTAAATTACCAACTGATTATATTTTGTTCTACCTTACCATTAGATATTTGGAGTCAGGAGATGCACTTTTATGAATAAATGCATCGTTCTAATACACCTACTTACATATCTCATACTAATCATATGACAAACGTGTGAGAGGCATCAACTCATGCTCTTCCCACGTAGTATTTGACAATAAATGCAGTAGATAACTGCAACCCGTTAGGGTATTAATACAATTGCGAAAGATATATATTTCAATTTAGCTATGTTTATATATTAAAAAAGATATTAAAAAAAAAAAAAAAAAAGGATCATTCAAGTATATTTAACAAATGAAATTGATTTGAACGATACAAAAAAAAATTGACATTGTTAAGTTTTATTTCTCATAATATTAATTCAGATGTAAAAGAAATGTCGACCGTGAACGATCATCTTGTGTTATGTGACTGCAACATCGTAAACGATGGTTATACAAATATTTACGAGTTGCAGCTGGAGATAAATCAACGTAAACGCAGTCACGTAATTCGTGACGTTTTCGAGGACGTGCTGTCTTACGAAATTCTCGAGTTATACGTCATCGGTGTAATTAACGTGTTCGCTCCCATTAACATCTGACCTTTATTCAAAGTCTAATAAGAGGAGGACAGTTGGAAAGAAACAGAGACAGAGAAATAATGATTGTGCGAATTGTATTATTTTTTTATTTTATTTTATTATCTTAATTCTGTTTTCGTTATCTTTATTTTTCTTATATTTTTATTATATCTTTCGTATTTTATTTTAGATAAATGGCTGGTCGTTACGATTATATTTTCCAAATTTTTATTATCAAAAAATATATGCATGTATATGCATATATTTTTTAATTTGATTTCTTTTGTTACAATCTGTAAGATGATACTTTGAGTTTAATTCTTTTGTCTTCGAGTTACAAGAGATATTATTAATTAACCGAAGAACATTGTTGAAACATTCGGTCCCCGTTTGAAGTTTAATCTCTAATGGAACAGCCGTCGCAATTAGACGAGACTTATTTTTCTATCGTTCTCTCTTTCTCTTTCTTCCCTTCTTTCTTTATACTTTGCTGTGCACTCGTATGCAATGTTTGAACGTGCATTCTTAGCCACGTGACATGGCACGCGTCGATCGTTACACTATCGCCAATGGCAATTGTTTCCCCTAAAAATGATTAGCTTGCACCAACCAAGCCGCGAACCTTATTTCTTTCATCATTCTTACTTACTTCGTTATCAAATTTTTTCTTTCTTTTTTCTATTTTATTATTCTTATTCAATAATTTTTATTTTTCAACTAATTGTTAACGTCACTCAAGAGTTTCCTATTTACAAAATAAATTTACCAACATGAGTCGTTATCGTTGATCTAATTTTAAATTTGTCAATTTATTTTCTTGTTTATGAATTGTGTATTTAAAAAAAAAAAAATAATTAAAAAAAAATATAACGTTTCTGTGTACATCGAATTCTAATCTTATGTTAGACAAAATATTTGTCTCGCGTCAACAATATTTACGTGAAATTCAAAATAAAAAACAACATGTTTAATATTAGATTCTAATAATAAGATAAATATATTTTTAATATATAAAAAAAGAAGACAATTGTCCAATTAAATAGAAAACTTGATTACATTTTCTTAACGATCGGGGATTATCTGTGCAACATTCGACACGTGCCACGGTGCTACGGGATTTAGTTTTAATTCGTTTAAAATGAATATTACAAAAGAAAAAAAAAGATAAATATAACAAAGAAAAAATATATATAAAGATAAATTATTTATAAGAAAAATATGACGTCATTTATTTCTAAAGCGGAAACAATGTTTAAGCGGAATAATCGAAAGAAATTATCTAGCTGGTTCGTTTTATTTATTGGATCGTTGAACTATTAATTCATGGAAACGAAGTGAAAGAGGAAGAATAATAAAAGTAAAATACAAAAAATAAAGAAAAAAAGATAGATAGGGAGAGAAAGAAAGAGAGAGAGAGAGAGAGAGAGAGAGAGAGAGAGAGAGAGAGAAATAAAATAAAATATAATAAAATAAAATAAAATAAAATAAAAATATGGTCAGAATTGACGTCAGTAAATGTAATACGTCAAGATATCATAAACGTAAACTTGTTGGTTTCGCTGACAAGAGACAAATAACTCGTCATTTAATATCGTTAAATTTGACAATGTTATCGAGGAGTGTCTCTCGTGTTATCTTTGCACAGCCTGGTACCGATTAATCAATCACAAGAAGAGTTTTGTTCAGAAAATCACTGATATATAAAGTTTCATTTAAGTTTCAACGGAAACGGATTAGATCAACTCGTTCTTTTGGAATAATCGTTTTTGTTTAACGTTACCAAATTATTTTCATAGAAAAATATAATATGTTTTTATTAAAATATATTTCAATTCGTACGACTAATGTCTTCTTCGTAATTTATATTACGAAGAAGAAGAAAAGAAAAATAAGATTGTACGAATAAAAGAATATTTTTAAGGATGGTTTACTTGAAAAAAATAAAAATAATCTCTGATAGAAATGTATTTTAATTCGAACAATGGAAAATATTAATAAAGTACATCCATAGAGTGTTCGATATATTTCAAACGATTGATAATTAATCGAAATAAATGTTTATTGTAGTTTGAAAAACACCGAGTATAAATTTGATGTACCGTCCTCTTCGAAATTCACCGTTAGACTGTTTCGTAGTCTCTTCTATAAAAGTCGATTAAATTTCTTTTATTGATTGTTATTTATATAACTTTCAGATAAATATATTTTATTTATAACGAATATGCATATGTATATATAACGGAATACCATTTGGAAAGTTATATAAACAGCATTTAATAAAAGAACTTTTACAGAGGACAACGTGATAGTCTAACGGTGGATTTCGACGAGAACGGTGCACCGAACATATAATCGGTGCTTTTAAACAACGATACACATTTCTTTCGATTAATTAACAATAATTTAACACTCTAATAAACTCTACTTATATTTATACAGGAAAATTTTACATTCGAAGAAATCACTACGCAGAAGCGATAAAATAATTACATTAGAATGCAAAAAATACAAAAATTAGAACGTTATAATCTTAAATTCTCTTTTTTAGGAATATTATTACCGTTGCACATATGCACAACGTTCGGAAAGTCATATAAGCAATATTCAATAAAAGAATTTTGATAGAGGACTAAAGTGCCAGTCTGAAGGTGAATTTCAAGGAAGACGGTACTTTGATCATATACACGGTGTTTTTAAGTAACAATACACATTCCTATTGATTAATTAACAATTATTATAACACTCTAATGCACTCTACTTAGATTTCAGGAAAATTCTACCCTCGAAGTTATCACTGCGCAGAAACGTTTAAACAAATATATTTTAATTAAAACAATTATATAAAAATAAAAGAAATGTTTAAATCATAATGTTATAATCTTAAATTCTATTTATCAGGTATATTATACATATGCAACTTTCGGACAGAGGGTAACAAAGCCAATCTATCAATGAATTTCAAAGATGACGGTACATTGTACTTATATTCGATTTTTTTTAACTACAATATATATTTCCTTTCGATTTATTAACAATCAATTAAAATAAATCAAATACAAATATTGTACTAATATTTTCGATCGTGTATCGTTTATGTATGTGTCCACACACATCTATATCCATAATTTCATTTAACTGTCAATGATCGATTGTGTATTCTATTTCACTCTCTTACTATCTCTCTCTCTCTTTTTTCATAAAATTTGATCTTTACCGTCAACTCACAAAGTTTATTTCAAAAAAGAAAAATAATAAAAAAAAAAAAGAAAAGTATAAGAGATTTGCAAACACAAAAGAGGGTTTTAGCATAGAACGAAAAGAAGGGCACTTATGAATTCAATTCCATAGAAGGATCTTTCTCTCTATCTTTCTCTTTCTTTTTTATTCTTCTTCTTTGTCTTTAGTCTTCTTCGTCGTCGTCCATGCTCGAATGTTATGACAATTATGAGTTTTCCGTGGAAGCATCGAGCCGGCACGTGGCTGTTAGCTCGAACGTCGTACGTCGAGGGGTACGACGAATGGCACGTGCCCTCGCGTGAGAACTACCTCGATCACACGCGTCACATCTACACGTAACTAATACACATATGATCACATACACACATATACATATACAAACATGATCGACCATTTTATTGAAAGTACGCTAACGCGAGTTATAAACATTATCGTCTTTTCATCTTGTTCCCATTTGTAATTAACTTATAAAAAAAAAAAAGAAAAAAAGAACAAAGAAAAAAAAATAACAAAGGTGTCGAATCATTTCTTAGAATTCTTATATATTTTATTATCAATAAAAATTAAATTTATTTTTATCCGTATTATACACGTGTATGTAGAAGGTTTCTTATTTTCTATTTTCTTTATGATTATGATTATAATTGAAAGATCGAATTGCGCGACGTTTGATTTGTTTCGTTTCAAATTGTAAAAAAAGAACATGCAAATGGTTGAAAAAAAAAATAAAAATATAGCAAGAAAGGAAGAGTTGTTTTTTTTGTCAATCTTTATCTTTATCTTTATCTTTATCTTTCTACAAATACTATAGATGATTTGATTTTCTTTGACCGCAAAGATGTACAATCGACGCGTGTCCACGTTCGAGATGCACGTGTACAGAAACGAGGTTGGTTTTCGATCTTAGGATCGATCATTTAATTACGTTTAAGTGTTCATACATATATTTCATTGGCGGTACTTTGAATATCACATGTGAGATATATTAAATAATAATAAATTATTATACAAATGAAAAGATTTTATTTTAAATAATTTATTTTAAAGATAGAGGTGATGATAGTGGTGGTGGTGGGAGGAATTTATCGACCATGAATAACAAAAATATTCGATCCAATCGATATATATATATATACAGGAAATGCAAATAATAATAGAATGCAAGGACGAAAAATCAATCGAGTGGAATCTACGATCAATTAACTTATTCTATTATATCCATGGTTGAAAGATAGTGTATACTATATTGACAATTCGCCATCAATCATCGAGCCATTAATCCAATTCGATTTTCTTCTCTTTCTCTCACTCTTTCTTGATCCCACTGGACAACAAATAGAATTGAATCGATCGTTGCATTATTTTTTCATTAATATTATAATTATTATTATTACTATTATTGTTTTTATTCAAAAGAAAAAGAAAATGTGAATGATGTTTGTTATCAACTGAAAAAGATTTCAAGTATTTATAATGACAATTTGTTTTGTAATTTATTATTATTATTATTATTATTATTATTATTATTATTATTATTATTATTATTATTATTATTATTATTATTACAATTTCTAAATAATTATTAGTTCAATAAAAATTTCATTTAAACATTAGGATTATAATAAATAATTATTACGAATAAAAATAATATATTAATTATCATCAATAAATATTCGAAATTCGTTAAGTTAAAATATGAAAATAAAAATAAACGAGATACATGAAATTTATTAATCATGAAATTATTCGTAATTATAATAATACATTTTATAATTAAAACATTAATGGATAAAAATAACACCGGGATGTTATAAAAAAGTTTTTAAAAACTTTCTTTTTCATTCAAACAAATAAACAACATATATACAAATATATTCTTCTTCATATTATTACATTACCCGGAAAGAAAATTTTGAAAGAAAAACACTTTAATATTTATAAATCGGTAAAAACTTTCCTGAGCAACCTGATACATAAACACAAAACATTGTAACAAAATCTTTCGATCGATTAATAGAAGATAAAAAAAAACAAATTGAAAGAAAATGGAACGTATTATCTACAAAAATATAACCTAATAAACCTAGAAATGAATAGAATATAATCAAAAATTAATCGAAAATCGGAAAAATAATTTCTATACCTTTGATCAGCAATCTTTCAATAATTAATAAAAGAAGATTTAAAAAAAAATTATAATAAAAAGGAAAAAAAAAAGAACATCTCTTAGGTAGCAGGAGAATATGATGAGATCGGTGGGAGAATGGGAAGATGTCACGAGATGATATCAAGAAGATTCGTCGTACGCGTGTTAGGGGAAAATCGTCTATGGGGTTGCCTCGTAAAATCTTTCTTGTAAAAGTTACAAGGGGTGAGGGTAAACGAGAGAACCCCCTAGAGAAAGAAAGAGAGAGAAAGAGAAAATGATAGGAAAAGAGAGAAAGACGCGGAGAAGGAGAGGGGGAATGGGGGTTGGGGAGGGGGAGGTTTCTCATAACGTGTGATAAGGTCGCGGCCGACCGAGGTAATAAATAGGAGAGGGTAACTTGCAGGAGCGGCATTTCGTCTCGCGACGGCGTACAGTTCGCATCGATCGTATTTTACGTTACTATAATACACTCGTACATATATATATATATATATATATATAAAGAAAGAAAGAGAGAGAGAGAGAGAGGGACGAAAAAAAATACAAAAGTAATTTTCTGACATTCAAAAATTACGCATTTTCATTCTATCATCTCTTTTTATCTCTCGTATATAAATTATAATTGAAAATTAAGTAAGAAAAAAAGGAGGAAAGAATAATATACACATATCATCCATAAAATTGGAACAATCAACTTGGACGCTTACGTTTAGTGACGTCATAAAAAATCCTTCAAAATATTCGACACCAACAATCATCAACAAGGATACCATCCCATAGAAGAAAAAGGAGAAGAGGGAGAAGGAAGAAAAAGGAGAAGAGGGAGAAGAAAGAAAAAGATATAATTTAAGTGATCATGTTGAAAAAATTGTTGAGCAAATCAGGACGCAGAATTTTACGGGTAAGAAATGTGTTGTTATTATTATTATTATTATTACAATTAAAAAATAATCGTGAATAATGTTATGCGTCAAGCGACGTATATACGTGCATATTAAGTTTAGTTAAAATAAAGTATACATGTAGAAAGACAAATACACGTACGTACGTATATGTGTGTAAAGTTCGTAGCTCGACGACCTAATTTTCGAGCGTGACATCCGTGAGTGACCCGGGCATTGGCTTGCTCATCGTTTTTGACCGTTCGATTTCACTTCCGAGAATTTTTAGTTTTTTTATCAATTATGTAAAGAAAACGTAAAAAGCAATTTGTGTGGAATAAAGCAAAAAACAAGGAGTATTATGAATGATAGATTAATGGATAGATAAATGATAAATCTTGATTTTTCTATCTGCGCGCATTGAAAATGTGTTATTGTAACATTAGAAACATATACACACACATACGTTTATATACACACGTACACTTACTTACATATGAAGATAGGAATATTATCGTGTAACGTAATCTGTTAGCTTGCGTGTTTTACGTCAGAGAGTTTCGTTTGTAGTCAAGAAGGAATTGGAAGGGGTAGTAGTTAGAATTGGTGGGAGAGAAGTGGCGGGGTTTGGGGTGATACGGGGTTGTAGTGGTGGGTTGATGTGTAGAGGATTGGGGTAGAGTTAGGAAAGTAGGAGAATTGTTTTGTGACATTTTTCAATAGAAAAAAAAACCCACACACATACATCGTTAATTTTAATCGTAGGCGATCAAGAAGCTATCAACGAGGAGTCGGAAATTGAAAAGGTCACAACAATCAAATGGTGGTGGTAACGGTGAAAATGGTTGGCAATCAACTATAGGAGATTTTGATGCAGTATCACTTTCCTTGTCCCTACCATCCCTGGATGCGAAAAGTATCGACACTTATATGACTTACGTCATCGAGAACATCGACGATTGCGATTCGAGATGTTGTAATTGCTGTGACGAGTACGAAGAAAATCAAAGAAACGAGAATATTGAAAACGAAATGACGACAATCTAACGTTTATTATTATTATTGTAAAAAGAATTAATTTTATTTTTTATTATTTATACACTTTTTTCTCTTTCTCTCTTTCTCTCTCTCTATATATAAATGTATATATATTTCTCTTTCTCTGTTGTACAGATATTTATATTATTTATTACACGTGTTCCTAATTGCTGGCAATAAAAAAAAAAGTTTATTTAAAAGAAAGAAAAGATGAAGCATGTTGACCAATGGAAAATATTTTACATGATGGTCTTCCGAAATAGATCTTTAAACGAATCTCACTATTATTATTATTATTATTATCATTTTGATCTCATTTAACTTAATTGCAATTATCGTCGTCTACAAATGCATAAACTTAAGATTGTATTCCGTCTATATGTGTATTTCTAGTATAAATTTTTAGAAAATAAGCTTCTACCCGATCGATTGGATTTGTTTTAATTTAAAAGAAAAAAAATGATAAGAAAATATTTTTCCAGCAAACGATACGATCTTGATCGTATTGCCATTATTCGATAAAAGTTCTTTTTTTCTTTTTTTTTATCATGCAGCAATACCAAATATAGTACAAACGCATATTGGATATATGCCTATGTGCAAGAATATAGTATAGAATAAAATAGTAATAAAGTTAATGTTCGTTTCTAGTTGGCTCGAAGTCGATTTCACGTCCAAGGTAACACACTTATAATATCATAGAATATAACTTATTTTATCTAATACGTTAATCGATAAATGTTGGTATGTGTACTTTAATAAATTCAAACGATTAATTATTGTAAATTATAAAGAAACAAATAAGACAAATTATATGTGTATAAACAAATTTGTGTTAAACGTTTTACTAATAGCATATGCACACACTACAATAAAGCTGCCAATGATCTAGAAGACCGATTTTGAAAAACAAACAACATTGTTAGAACTTAGCAGTTGCATAGCGTTATACCGAGCAATACTTTTCGTTTTTAAAAATCGGCCTTCTAGATCATTAACAGCTTTATTGTAGTTATCATTTGGCGAAAACTTCACCGTTATTGTTGCAGAGGGTGTTTATTTGTAAGATATTATTCTCTAATTCTGAAAAATATACTATTTGTAAATTATTTAAGCGACCAAGAAAATCTAAATAAATTGTTAATTATATTTACTTGAAAAATTGACCAATGAAAACTTTTTATATTTACATTTTTTATATAATTAAACTAAAGTCATTAAATACATTTAAAAATATTTATATTTATTTAATGAGATTTATTTTAGTATAAAAACAAAATTAAATTCCGAAAAAAATAAACCGAAAAATTTTTAAATTAAAAAAAAAAAAAAAAATTCAGCCCATCTAAAGAAGGTATAAGATATGTATATTCAAAATGAAAAAAAGTTTAAAAGGAAAGAAAAAAAAATTAAAAATACCAAAATTTGAAAAGGTTTTTTCAAAAAAAAAAAATCGAAATTTCTTATAGAATTTAACTTCAAATATTTTTTTTATATTTTCTTTCAAAAAATATATTTAAAAACAAAACATTAAAAAAAAAAATGTCCCGATAAGTCTATTTTTGATAAAGTTATAGTTACTTGAGAAAACAATTAAACGAATATTTTGAAATTCATAACTTATATTAGGTTTGCCAAAAAAATCTGGAAATTCTCAAAAAGTTTTTTAATAAAGTTATAAAGGATAAAAAAGTTTCAGCAAAATCGAAAGAGGTGGGGTCAAAAGTGGTCGATTTGACGTGGAATGCCACATAGATAATTAACGTTCATATTAAAATCATTTAATATATTAGGTATTTACGATACAAGTTTCTCTACTAAATAGGACGTGGTTTTTGGTATTGAATAATCAATTATTTGTTCAAGTTACAAAGTAATGTTCCAAACATCTGAAACTCTGTAGACTTTATTCTTTTAACAGTAGCTATAACTGAGAATTTTTACAGATTTTTGGCTAATATAATTCTGGAAT